TTTTTTATTGATTTTAGGGAGTAAGAAAGAGGGAGGGAAAGAGAGAAAAACATCAATGTGACTGAGAAACATCAAACCAGTGACCTTTTGGTGCGCATCATGATGTTCAACCAACAGTCATACAGACCAAATCTTCTTTCAACATCTTAGCTTTCTGACAGGAAAGCTGTCCAGGATAATATATTTTTAAATGATTTATCACTTTTGGTCTTACCCCAACAAACATTCAGGGTGTGCAAAATGAGGATACTTCACAAACATTACTTTGATTATAAAAATAAATCAGAATTAAAATGTAATTTTGATATTTTTAGCAGACAAAACAAGAAATCATCAGTAAAGATATTGGGGAGTTGACATTCTCAGTTGAAAAAAATAAGATGTCAAAACAAAATGTTGTAATTCTTCCAACCCACTATTCATTGTTTGAATGAGATTTGAAGTTGACTAGAAAAATAACCATGATACCTCAGACCAGAATATGTTGAATTAGTTCATTCTGTAGCCACAAGTTTTAAAGAATGTCTGCAATTGCAAAATCTGTCATAGCTCTATTTGGCTTATCTCAGCCATATTACTCTTGCTCACTCTTCTAACGTTCCCTTCCCTTTCTGGCCACTGTCAGTTCCTCCTATTATCTCTTTTGTTCCAAGGGAGTGTTTGAAGCTACCCATTGTCTTCACTATCAGAGAAGTGTAAACAAGGGGTCCAGAACGCTGATGAACCTTGAGCCCTGGCAAGGGCCAGAGCTATACACCAATTGTTTAGTCGAGACAATGGTAGCTCAAGCAATGTCCTGACCAAACAGTCTCAGAGTAAATCTTTACTAATATTTACTGACCTTTAAGATAGTCTGTTATCAGAATTGCCTGCCTAAGGGCTATATGTGTATCCAAAATTAAATAAAAGGTTGGCAAGGCCTGGGCACCAGTGGAAGTCCTTCCCCTTGCATTGAACTTTCCGCCTGGCCCCAATATTTCCAAATTATTATTTCTTGTTTAGTCTCTGTCATTTGCACGCGGCCCTTCTCCAGATCCTGAACCCTGAACCATGTAGGCCATGGATCGCACAAGGGAGTATTAAGATATGTTCATAGAAAATACTTTCAGATGGACTATAGCAACAACTTTGGGGGGGGGGGCATTATGGGGTTCTAAGATTTTTGTGGTTTTTTTGTTAAAATGTTTGAATCTTGACTCTGTCACTGTAGAATAATGCCCTTGGGCAAGTGTTTGATGATTTCCTCAATACTCTAAGTTACTAATAAAATATGATTAATAAAAATAGTATTTACTTAATGGTAAATAATTTATGTACTTTAATCCCCATAACAACTCTAATAACTAGTCACTTTTAATATCGTCATTTTACAGGTGAACACACAGATTTTGAGAAGTTAAGGAAATCATCCAGGGACATACAGCTTCAAGTAGCATCACTAAATCTCAAATCTTCTTTTTATGTTGCTGCCTCTCCAATAATGCTACCTACAAATTGCTATTTGTAAGAATTCCTTTAAGTTCATATAATGTTCATGGTATATAGGAGACTTTGAATAAATGTCAGCTCCTATTTCTGTATCTATATAGTACTTTTAGTTTTCTCGAAACAGCTGATATTTATCATTTTATTTGATTTTTACCTGACAAATATGGAAATTGAGGAAATATGGGACTGAATAATATCAACAAATTACCAGAGAAACTGGTCTGAGGAACCAGGTTTTCTTTCTTCACATCTGCTACCTTTTCCTCTACAAACCTGTCAAAGTCCTGCAAGAAGAGACTTTTGTTTTTTCTCTTGGGTCCTCCCTTCTTTTTGGCTGCAGGCAGGAAGGCATATGCTTATTTTCATAAATGAATGAGCCTCTTGATGTTACAGAACCTGACACCACACACTTAAAATGATTATTCTGTGATCTTTAGGATCATCATGGCAGAAGGCCACTCTCAACTAGACTTTTGCTCCCCTGCAATGACAAGCCCTAATGGAATCTGGCCTGCAGAGTGTCTGGGCTGTGTACGGGCTGGTGTCAGAGCAAGTGCAAGCAAGTTCCTCAAAGCTCAGCCTTTACTACATTGTGTAACTCAAACATTCCTCCAGGACACAACCCACCTTTTCCAGTGGATCTACTGCACTGATTCTCTTGGAGGCAGTGTGGAAGTAGAGGGGAGGGGAAAGGAGGGCAAGTATGTGCTTTTGGAGGATATTGTGGATGGGGGAGTGGGTGGAGACAAAGGGGGCAGGGAATGACAAGCCAGGGTGGAAGAAATAAGCACCACTGCCACCAAAATATTCTGCTCAAGGATGAGAGAGTACACCCTGCAGCTGTTAGTAGTGTTCAGCATATTTAGCATATTTACGTATACCAAGTATTTCCAAACAGCTTTGTGTTTGTTTTAAAATCCCACACAGAGATGTCTGGTAAAGCTGTTACTGTGGAAAGCTTATTTTCTTGGTGATGTTTGCAAAACTGTTTTAAAATTTTGTGTATACATCATAAGTATAGCAGAATAATCAGTCATTACCCACATTATAGAGAAATCTGGATCAGTCTATCTACCACTCAGACAGCATTCAGAGTGAAACACTCTTGTTCTAAGAAAAGAAGGTACCTTCTTGGTAAAATTCATTTTTTTAATTTAATTTTTCCCATCCACATTTATCCCTTCTATGACCTCTTCCACCTCCATCCACCCCCTCACCCCTGCAATCATCACACTATTGTCCATGTATTCTCACTCTTTTTTTTCTCTTTTTTGTTCCATCCCTCCATTCCCCCCACAACTCTCACCCCCACCCCCAACCCCCAGAGCTGTCTGCCTGCTCTCTATCTTTAGTCTACAGCCATACCACCCTGAACGTGCCTGATCTTGTCTATCTTTAAATTGTTATTTTTGGTTCAATATAAAATAAAACATAATCATACAGTGATCCTTGGTTAGTCCTGAAGCCACCAAAGTATAGCTATTGACTCTCATCTTTAATTTATAACTGTTTGCTTGTTTGTTTTGTAAAAAAAAAATAGTAACACTGGGTAACTTTCTCATACAGCCATTTTCTTTTGGAAACATAAAACACCATAAAACCACACATAGTCCATTTGTAAAAGATTAGGAAACTTCCAGCAGAAGGAATGGGGTTGTTTAAAGCTATATTTTCCTTTTAGCAAGATCCACAAGAAAAGGATAGAGTGTCATGCTTAAAGGGGAACAGATTTTGTATTTTTTGGCAAGATATTAAATCCTCTGTTGCTATATTTGGCTCCCTGCAAATAGTCTCTTGTGCAAGTGCAACGAAAAGATCAATGCTGGTGTTCATTCAGCCACAGCCAAAGTTGGTATGGGAAGTAAAGCAGTTGTTGCTTGAGTGTTGTTTTTAAGAGAGTCTAGCTCACTTATTAACAGCATTTTAGAGTAAAGGTACCTACTTTACACATTAAATTGATCAAAACATGTTGGCTTTCCATAGCAGTTTTTCCACTGCTTAACTGATAACAGATGCAATGATTCAATCTAGACAGAAATACAAAAGCTTTACCACGTCAATGTGGTCATATATATAGATATTTAGTCAAATGTGTATAAGCAAGTCAAATGAGATGCTTGGAGACTTAGAACATCACAGAATGGGCATATGTTCCCAAAAAAGGAAGCAAAACAATTAAATGGTAGTGATTGTCCCCAAAGAAAACACACTTCAGCTAGGAAGAATCTGCACCAGATGTCCCGTCTCCACCCCCCTGAGTGCCTGTCTGAAATAAATGCCACATAACCCTTTGGATCCCAAGGTACTGTAATAACCACGTGAGATGTTTAAGAGAGCAACAGGAATTTCCTTCATATGCAATTATTTAATTGAAGATGAATCTTGCACAAATGACCTTTGTAAACATGGAACAAGCCTTGCTAGTTTCAGTGATACAGTAAATTCCCTCAGACTACAAAGCTGATGAAAAACAATTATTGAAATCTGTAAACATGTTGCCTAACATTTAAGAACTTTGCAGGTGGAATTAAATCCAGGGCTCTGAAATGGGGAGATTATCCCAGACTATCCAGGTAAAGCCAATGTAATTACAAAAGTCCTTAAGTGTGTAAGAGGGAGGCAAAGAGGGTCAGAGCGATGCCATATTAGGACTTGACCAGAAATTGCTGGCTTTGGAGATGGAGGAAGGGGCCATTAGCCAAGGACTGGAGATCCTGAAAACAGCACCGAAACAGATTCTGCCTTGGAGTATCCAGGAATGCAGCTGACACTTTGATTTTAGCCCACTGAGGCCAGGGCCAAATGTCTGACCTACAGAGCCATAAGGTAATACATTTGTGCTGTTTGAAGCCATTGAATTTGTGGTAATTTTTACAGCATCCATAGGAAACTTATGACACTAGTCTGGTCTAAAGATATGCAGACTGTCAAAAAGCCTGTGCCAAGTTATTTCACCTGTAATGCTGGAGGCACTACTGATTTCAATACTGATTTTCAGACTTTGCACTTTCACATTAAAGATTCATTTAATAAGGAAATAGAAGTCCCAGGTAGGGAAATTCTAGCTTCCTTTAAAAATATCAGGTCTGGGACTTCCTTCTAGGTGCATTTCAAAGAATTGTTGGGAAAGTTTGGTTTATTTTTCCATACTGCTCATCTGTATCAACAAATGCAAAAAAATTAAAATAAAATAAATGTCTCTCTCCCAAAGAGTCTATCTATAACTTTAGAAATATTGTATTAAAAGATTCATAAGCTTCCCTCAGTTATGTAATACAGCCCATTTCACTTGCTCGTCCATTATTAACAATTGTTTTATAACCTATTTCTCTCTGTAACATACATTTCTTGGCTCTAAAAATTAACTAAACCTCATTTAAAAAAAAACCTATGATGTTTTAATTTCCAAAGATAGTTACAAGTTGCTTAAATAAAAAGAAAACAGAGAGCTTTAGTTAAGAGTCAAGAAATACAAATTAAACCAAAATGCTACATTAAATATAAACATTAAGTTCACATTAAATTATTTATTGAACAAATTGAAGACATTTATTTTTATTACAAAGTCCTCCATTATTTTATATCATCAACACATAGTTATGAGACCTGCATTTGAAAAGTGAATAGAAATACGAAAATGCCTCTTTCCCCAACCCCAAGAAAAACAGGGGGAAAATATGATTTTATAATTAGTTTTAAAGCCAAAAATTTTATGGATTACATCTATTTTTTGTAAATTAAGAATGACAATATAGCTAAGATTCATTTATCTTTCTGGAAATGTAAAATTAAGATAGCATAAAATTGCTCATAAAACTAACAAATCTGGAATTTGACTGTATTTCAAGATTGTGAGATACTACTAGCATTAATTTTCAGTTTACCTAACCAAGTAACAAATATAAGTTTAACATGCTATGTATTTTTTTACAAAAGTACATCTTACTTAGATTTATATGATGAAAACAAAATTAAATCTGTGTTTTCCTTTCAATATATGCACTTTAAAATGATACAAATAATTCACATGAAAATCCTTCCCTATGTTGTTAATTCGTTAAAATATATGGAATAGTATTTTGAAATCAAATATAATATCCAAGATTGTAAATAGCCTAAGAAATTAAATCAAGTATGTAAATAATCATTAATTTTTGCCCTTGCCACAGGATAGGAAAAAATGTACATCTCTATTAGTATAAAGAGATATCATTTTAAAAGTTCACATCTTACGCATATACCAAAAAAGCTAAATAAAGAATCTTATATAGTAAAAGAACTATTCTTAAATCAAAATTTAGTAGTCCAGAAACAGTTTGAAAGAAAGCTAATTGATGGCGACCTGCACTTTTCTAGAAAGTGTCATTGTTTACTTATACAATGGAATTGGCAAGTTACACTTACTATTTCTTGGAATTTTAAAAGGGTGATAGGTAAACTTATTGGACTAATTCATTTGCAATTTCAAGATAAATAGTTTGATCAATTATTTGAAACTATAAAAATATTTTCACACAAACAAAAAGAAAGCACAATGGACAATAAAAGAAATAAGAAAAGTATGATAGTTTAATAATAATGACTATTTCTATACCTTGGAAAAGTGTATACGTAATATTCCCAGAGAACACTAAAAGAAAGAAAAACCTACAGAAAAATTCTGAAAGTCTGTTCTGTGACCAAGTTACTAAGGTAATTAACATTTTGAGGCTATTGAGACTCAGGTCTCCTTGCAGGCCCCACCCGTACCCCAATCTCCAGAGTCATCCACCTTTGTGTAGTTTACAGATTCACTTACAATATACATCACTGAACAAAAACTTTAACCTAATTTTTCTAAAACAACTTTAATAATAGTTTTAATGCTTTAATACTAAATGGTTCTTGGGCCAAGATTTTAGGAAATACATTTTAATTTCTCTCTCAAACAAGGCTTACATTTTCTCAAAGATGTGTCTTTTGTCCTGGATGAAAGAATAAAACAAAACAAAACTGCATCCTTAGGTCCTGCATATTAAAATTGGCGGCTGATTACAGTCTTGGTCCCAAAGTTTCTGCTTTCTGCTGTCCTTCTGTCTGTTGTGAAGGTGATCAATCACAGGAATTCTAACTGCCATCAATACCCCTTTGTAACTGCAATGGTTCAACTGAACTCTTTCCATCTTCAATAACCGACACAGTGTCAACATCTGCTTCCAATAAAGTTGTTTCTTTTTTTCTCAAGCAGAGTAAATCTGCTGACTGAGATCTTAAAGGGTTCTGTTTTTTCCTTTTTTCTCCCTTTCACATGCAGACAATTTTTTTCCACCGTATTTTGCAGTTTTTCCTCCATGGCAAGTAGAAAAAAAAAATGAATAACTTCAAAAAAGATGTTTTTATTCCAGGTGCCAAGGAAGCCCCAAATATAACTGAAAAACAATAACTTTGATGATTTAATAAACCTGTTGCCTTAATTTTGGAGAAAATAATACACAGGGTCCTAGATGAATCCAATGTTGGAATAAGTAAGAAAACTCGGAGTTGAACCTAGATACCACTAAGAGGTTATTTTCCTTCATAAATGGTACACTCAAAAATTAGAGATAATTAAGAATTTTACATTTTATCTTCAACACCTAGTAGAAGGCAAAGATTCTCTTGCATTAATTTGTTATGGAAAAGCACAGTAATATATCTACTGCTGCAGAAATGGGTATGGGAAGTAGAGAGGACATTTGGGAGCTCAGTTTTATGACCTACTTACTCAACTGATAGACATGAGTGATAGCTGCTATTTATTGAACATCTACTATGAGCTGATGATGGATTTTATATACATATATATGATTTTCAATCTTCACAGCCTGCCAGTAGGTATTATTATCCCACTTTACTCATGAGATAAATAAATAAACTCCCAAATCACATATATCTAATTGTGGTTAAGCCAGAATTCAGAGAATTACCTAATGCCCAACACAATGCACTTTTCCATTAATTCATTCTACTTCTCAATTCATATCCCCATCAGAACGCTAACATAAATTCTTTCCTTTTCTACAGTTAATGCCACTGCCCCATTGACTTAATTCAGCAAATATTATCTAACAAAGGGACACTCTGAAAGAAATAGAATGCAGTTTCTTGAAATATAGTTTCTGATTGCCCCTTTAAATTACAAATGTAACATTAAACCAGACAGTAAATGTAAAAGTGAGATAGATTCTGTCATGTATTCTATAGGTCTCACTTAGAGTAGGAATGGGCAAATACTATGTGCATAATGAATGAGTTTCTCAATGGCACATTTAATCCAATGCCTGGGATGTGTTGTTTTTAAAGTTTCTTATAAAGTTAAAGAAATTAATTCCTCAATCATTTGTCATCCACTAGTTCTCATTTGCAAAATTCAAAACAATCCTGGCCACTTTTGCTTAAAATAATATTGTAATTTTAAGAGGAATGAGAAAGAAGAAAAAATAGAGGAGTGGATGGTTAACCTTCTTAAGAAGAAACACTGATTTTTAAAAAGTTTAGCACTCTTTTCAAATAAACAATGAGGGACCGATAACCTGTTAGGATCAACTTGTCACTATTATGTTGTTCCTTAGCTCATGATAGTTTAGGTGAAAGAATAGACTAGATGTCAACTAAATCAGATCATTTTTCTAGGGGCTAGTTCATAGATTTTTAGAAAGCTTGAGTGATTTCTAAAATAGTCAAAGATAGAGTGGTTCCATGTGAAATTGAGGAAGGAGGTGGCAGCCTTCAATAAAGCAGTTTGGAAGACTCTAAGTTCAACTGCATCATTTTGATGTTAGCAAACCAGACCCAGAGTATGCTAGCATTTTAAACCTAAAATAAATTCAGAATACCATGCTAAATTACAACTGATCTTTTTATAACTTCTGCTGGTAATGATAATGTGATCATAGTAAGGGGTGCCAGACAATTGTAGACATGCACTCATTCTTTTTTCACTTAGATTGGATCCACTCCTTGCATATGCAAAAATCTAATCCTTACTGTGCCAACACCACCGAGGCCCCTTCTCACTTACAAATCTTTCACGTGTACAGCAGAATTTAGGTCTCCAACTCTTCTTAGGCCCCCAGAGCCAAGGAATATTTTATCCTATGGTGGCCAGGAGTGACACAGAACACAGTCTCAATTTAGAGTGAAGCTATCTAATTGCTCTCTCTCCTTCAATTCAATTCAGTGGCGAATAAGGAAAGAGCAGAAAGTTAATACTTTTCTTCTCGTAACTGGGAAAATCCAATTGAATGATTTAGATGAGTTGGTATACCATACCATCCTCAGAGACACTGAAAAGGAACTTCCAAGGGAAGAAGAGAAAAATAAATAATCCCCAGTGAGTCTTCCCATGGGAATACCAAATATTTGTCTTTGAAAACTCAGGAGGACACAAATGAAACCAATTTTATAGATACATTCAACTCTGCTCCACAGATTTTGGCAAAATTACTAACAACTGTAATATATCAAATTGTAAATCAAAATGTAGATCATTTAACTAAGCCAGGCCCTAAAAATCTAAGTTCATGTCATTAGTAAGTGGAAGATACCTTAAGTTTGGACCTCACATTAGGTAACAATGTGCACATTGTGCTAAGGAGAGTCTGGCTAAGAAAAAGCAATGGATGGAGTGATAAGAATACCACAAGACAGTGTATAGCTCATGAGATGCTCCAGGAAAGAAAACTAGTACATGAAACACAGCTAAGGAACATATTTGAAAATTATCTGTGAGAACTCTGCCTAGCTAAGCAGAGGTTTTGTTGTTCTTATATCTAAAATGTTCACATACATAATATACACACTTTAAGATGAAAAGTGGTCTTTCACTAAATATTGTATTTCACATGGGTGAAGACAGGGATGGAAAAAATTTGATTTTTTTTTTTTTTACCAAACAAAAAACTTCTCTACAACATTAACTTTTTAACATGACCCATCTCTGAAAAGACCTGGAAAAAAGAATGGACTTTGCATTAAAAGTCCTTAAACTATCATTAACTGCTACTTTCATAATCTTTTTCTAGAAGGGTCTTGATAATTCCAACTTAACCTTATTTACATTCTGATGGCCAATCAATTTGAATTGGGGTTTTCAAAAATAAATTTTAAATAACAAATTATCAAATTGTTAACCCAATTTCAGTAATTGTGGTATAAATTCAAATTGAAATTTAATTTTGCTCTAAGTGTCTTTCTTATAAAGAATTAAATCATCTAAACCCAGATTTCAAAAAAAAAACTTGCAAAAACCTATGTTTAAAATATTGCACATACACTACATTAGTTTTCAATTCACAATGATAGGTAACATGATCAGAAAGAGTCATTGAATTAAAGGCTTTGTAATATGCCTAGTACTTTCTCAAATAGTATCCCTTCAAACTATGTTCAGGAAAAGAACTCCACTTAATATGTGACCTTAAAAATTGCTATGAATTAGGAATGAGAAAAATAAGTCACTGGCACTCCAAGGTAGCATGATTAAATGCACTTTTTTCCAGTAGTTGGATATAACCTCAGGTTCCATTTATCAAACTCAGATGGACTAGAAAGAGAATTACATATTCTATGCAAACTCTTCATCTGATTGCAGGTTTATGTAAAACTTTTTAAATCAAGCTACAAGTACTGATTGGGAGAAATCGAAGTAATCAAATATTCTTTCCTTAGTATGTTCATTAAAAAACTTCTTTTTCAAGCTATACATATTACTCAAAGCAAAGTAAGGTAGCATGGAATTCAATCTTCACTGAGATTTAATGTGATACAGCACTACATTGGCTTGGCTACGGTGTTACTTTTGTAAAAAGGGATAAACTATCAGACACTTGAGGTAACCTAGAAAGCACAGAGCTTATCACAGACATCTTAAAAGACAAGCATTTTAAACATTTTTTTTTTTGCCAGTGCTTCTCTGAGAGCAAGTTCTTTAAACAGAACTTAAACAATTTTTACAATATTAAAAAAAATACATCCCTCAAAAATAGCCCATCAATGCTAAATCAAACTTTCTGTATTTCTACAAAAATAGATGCACATAGAGCTATAAAATTTTATTCCTGAAAGAATGAGCATATTCATTTGTGATTCATCTTTTCCTGACAAGGTGGTTGGTTAAAAAAAAAAATCAAAATGAAACAAAAATTAAACCATGTATTGAGATAAAAAAACAAAATAAAATAAAATAAGATAAAAAGAGTTGCACAGTTGGCAAAGGCTCAGATGAGGGGAAAAATAAACAAAAATGCTTTTCTTCAATGTCTAGGACCCACTCTGCTTTCTCAAGAAAAGGCTCCAATGCAAAGTCAGCTGGCTGACACTCCTCTTCTCCTTCCATGTCTATTGTGCCAATCGCAGAATGGAAAATCCTGGCAGCATCTATTCCCAGTGGGCCCGGGATTCATGCTCCAATCTGACTTATTAATACTGTGTGTTTCAGTACCATGGTGATTCCTTGCTCTTGTCTTGGTGCTGTAGACCTAGAAAAAGTGACAATGAGAGCAATGAAAAGCATTAATATATGTCACACTAAAAGAATAGGCATAATCTACAATGCATGAGATACAAAAAACAAAAAGACAATCTTGGCTGTAAGGTCAGAACACCTGATCTCTAAGGAAATTCAGTGCTTGAGCTCATAGTTTTAAAAATACTAACCAACAGGTGACAAAACCTCTTGACCAGACAGTAGTGCTATTTGGACAGTACAAATTCTTCAGTGTGTTTTTTATTTCCTAATAAAACATTTATTTCCTAATAAAATGAGTAAATAAAACAATAAAATAAACCATATTATTTCTAATTTCAAAGGGAGCTGATATTGGGGGGGGAATGATGTAACAAATCTTTGGGATATTTAGGCAGCACTTCAGTTAATACTGTAATACTTTAGAGTAACAAAAATCATACTTTTTGGACTAAAATTGTAAATAAATTCTAGTGTTAGTTTGAAATGTATTCCACTGTGGGATTGCTATAAATTATGGTGAACAATTAGGGTTAAAAACTGAATCTAGTATTGTCAGCAAAATAGATATAGTCAGTTCCCAGCTAATAGCATGAACCTATATTCTATTTATAAATGTACTTATTTTTATCACATTTCTCTCCAGAAAATAGTTAAGATGGCTTACAAAAATCCAAACTTCATAGAAAGAAAATAAAATTCGCAAGTAAATTTAAAAGAATAGTGACAAAAGGAAAATATGTGAACATGTATGAATTCCAACTCATAGCAAAAGTTTATCAAACAGTAAATGCAACAAAAATGTAACTCTGATTGGTACTCATATAGTCAATTGACTAATTTCTGATATGGCAATTAGTATAACTCCTTCAGTTTCCATTATTTTTGTCCTGGGGCATAAATATTTGGAAGAGTAAAGATCCAGAATAATGCCTGCTCTGAATTTTTTTTAAAACCAAATACCAAAACACGAAGTTAAGGCTATTACATAAGGAATAGAACGCAGCCTGATTGCTGTTTTGTGAGTGCTGGGATCACAGGCTAGCTTCTTGATCCTTGATCTAAAACTGCTGATGTCTGGGCTGGATGTCAGCAATAGAACGGTTAAATGAACCAGTATGGCTTTCAATTGCAATTGTTACTAAACCAGATGCAGGGGTTTCATTTCTTGTCCCTCCAACTTGTCAAAGAATTTTATAAAACAGTGGGTATCATTATAAAATGGATACAGTTAGCTAGTCATTGATGGGAGACATTAAGACAGTCTCAAAACAACTACATGAAGGAAGAGTACAAATGGAAACAAGCAACTCACAGAACCACAAGTCACTATCTGAGTTCTGTAGCATTTGTGTATTGGGGAAAAACAACACTTCCTGAAAAAGTTAGTCCCATCTTATTTTTTTCTTATGTGTATATAGATTATGTTTAGATACAGAGTCTACAGCCCCCTTCACCTCCCCCCATTTCAAAGGAAGAATAGGAGGATCAAGAGGAGAATGAGGGGGAGAAAGGAGATAAAAGGATTTGTGGTATACCAATTCACTCTGTTTGCTTTACTCTTTTTCAAATGATTGTGTGGTTAGAATAATTTACAACATACCATAGTCTCTGTTGGGTGACTCTTATAATCTAAACCACCTTAGCTGACAATCTGCTGACTGCATAAATATTTTTTTCATTATTAAAACGTCTCATCTTCCGTATGACTCAGTATTTCCACACTTGAAGACTCCATCAATCTATAGAATGTCAGCACCGCAAGTCATGAATAGTGTTGGAATCATCAAGTGGTTTGAGTGTCTTTTTTCCCCTTTAAATAAAGGCAATCCTTAGTTTGCTTTGCAAAGACATACGACTCCTTCAAAATCATGTTAGCCTTCTTCTGTGGACAAGAATTGAATTACTTAACATAGCCCTACATTTTCCAACCAGAATAACAGAAGGCATTCTCTCATTATAACTTCATCTCTTCAATTTTTTTGTTGTTGTCAAGTCTTTGCATTATCTTAAAAAAAATCAATTAAATTCATCTATGACCTGAAATGCATTAAATATCTAATGTGGTGAAGGCACATAAATCAAACCTTTCCTTTAATGGCCAGATAGTCATATCTGTAAATTTCAAAATTGGCATAAGCAAAGCACAAGAAAATGAACCACAAGCAACAGAGCCTACTACTAATAAGGTGCATCAGAGAAGTATGGCTATAATTTTTCTTGTTATACAGTTGATGAGGGTAGATCAGGACATTAAAAAGCCATTCAGTACACTTAGTTTTCCCAATAAGGGTTAAAGAGGACACAATCATTAATCCCCATGAACTTTATGTGGTCTCCATATATCATTAGCTCATCATCCTTATGTTATCTACATATATTTAGGATTTCCCTTAATTGTTTACCAGAAGACAAAACCCACTATGATTTTGTTCCTATTCAGGCTTTTTTTTTTTTTTTTTTTTGCCTTCTCACTTCCCTAACTGAAACCCATATAAAATATAAAATAAGCTTATAGCATATCCTAAAATCTCCCCACTGGCTGTCTGAAATCACCCATATTCATCTTCTATACTTGTAATCCACAATTGCTTTATCATTTAGTCAATGAGATTGTCAGTAGAAAGGAAAATAAACAGCATAAAAATAATGTTAATGAGCATTTTCTTAGGGCTGAATATGCCAGGCACTGTGCTAAGTGCTTTACATGAAATATTTCATTTAATGCCACCCACCATGCTATAATAGTATCCATTTTACAAATGAGAAAATTGGAACTAAGAAAAGTTATGCAACTATCAAGCAGTAGAGCTAGGATTGAAGGTGAGATGGTCTGATGTCAGAGCCTGGCGTCTCCTGTATGGACTATGTAGGCTGTAGGCTGTGACAGTAGCTTATACTTCCTTAACTTCCCAAGTCAAAATTCTTTCATGAATCAATTCAAGGAATTGTTAATACATTTTTATATAATTTTTTCAGTTTAGAAACACTTTAAGGGAACTGATATCAGGATTAACAAAATAGCGGTCTTAGTGATTTTTTTAACTATACATCTGCAATGTTTTTCCTAAGATGTAGTAAATGATTACTACTTGTTATACTTCGAATGAAGACTACGTGCTTTAATAATGCAATAGGATATGTCATATTAACTGGAATGTTTTTTGATATAGATAACCACTTCCCCCCAAACTTCCTCAGTGTGAACATTGAAGACATGAGGTAGCCATTTGGCCTACGAGGTTGTCGTAAGAAATGGACCTGGAAACAAAAACATCACACCATTGGCTTTGGAGTTGGGAGTCTGTGACTCAGTTAGAAGAAAAATTGAAAAGAAAATGTCAACCCACAGACCCAGGTCCTCCCTCCATTTCTGTCACCACCGCCACCTGACCACCAAAAGAAAAGGGGAAAACCAGACCTAGGAAGAGCGTGAGGAAAAGTATGAACATAGAAAATAAATTTAAGATAATTAGCAATAGAAGAGAAGTCTTGATCAAGAAAGATCATAATACGATCTCCCTTTAAAATTTGAAAAATCTGTTGAATAAGGCACCACAACTCATTTTCTAGCTGAGATTTTGGGGGAGGCAATAGCTTCACAGATTCAACTTTTGCAAAAGACTCTGGGGATAAGGAAGTAGAAATAGCAAGCATGAAAAGCCTGGAGAATTCCCCCTCCTTAGATCCTAAATTGTCCCTGGGCTCTCCAAGAAGGATACATTAGCTCAGGAAGTATTATGCAGAGTCTGCCAGTATGTTCCATAGCTACAATGTGGGCACCCCATGGCAGGAGAAATGACATGGGCCACACCACCTGAGCATCTGGGAGGATCACAAGCACTATGAGGCTGAACTCAGGTGAAATAGTTCATTATCAGGGGAGCCTGGTACAGAGAATGCACAGAGAGGGAGAGCGCGGGGAGGGAATATGCTTGGAAACAATGGCCAGGATAGGATTGAAACGACAAGACCAAACATCTGATAGCAACCTCTTAATGGGCAATTTTTGAAATGTGACTAACTTTAGGAGCAGAGAGACAATCCTAGGGAGAAAGTGAGGGAAGAATTTGAGAAGAGGTTTTATCTCTAAATGGAAAAATCTTTTATTTATTGATTGATGAGAGAGAGAGAGAGAGAGAGAGAGAGAGAGAGAGAGAGAGAGATCAATTTGTTGTTCCACTTATTTACACATTCATTATTGATTCTTTATGTGCCCTGATCACAATCAAACCCACAACTTTGGTATATTGGAACGATGCTGTAACCAACTGAGCGCCAGACCAGCTCTGGTAAATTGTTTTAAACTAAACACAATGGAGATATCGTTGGGTTGAGCTAAGAATACTCACACTTGGTGCAGTTAAATATTCTGCTATTGAGTAGAAATAAATAATAAATTGGGCTACTGCAAAGGTGACACTCTGACGCACCTGAGATTTAGGCAATGTTTGCTAGTCACATCCATTAGAAAAGCACGTCTTACTTCCAAGGAAGCATAATCGCTTAACAACACTTAAATAAGTAGAATATGTTTTCAATTAATTTTATTGCTGGGGATAATAAAAGTAATGTGGTAAACATACACTAGCGGTACATGCTATTGATATAAAGAGAAGAAAAAGTGAAAGATAAAACCTGGAAGTGTGGCTAGAATATTTTATGACCTAAAAGTAAATACTTAAATCAATAAATATAAACTTTTCATTTCATAGATAATTAGAGTCTAGAAACCCTTTTAAATCAGAATGCTTACTATAAGTTGGCAGCTTATTTTTACATTAAAAAACACAAGAAGAATCTCTGCTTTAATAAGATATGCCATATTCATTATAAATATAAATATATACAACATTGTATTTGATGCCTTATCAAAATATCCAACCTTCACCACTGACCTCTAACACTGACACAATGAGAAATGATCACAAAGAAAGTGATGCTAGAGACAGTCATATTATCTTCTCCTACTTTATAAAATCATCACTGGTAATGATCATACAACCACATTTGTTTGTCTGAGCCCTGGGACAATTGGTTTAAATGCTGGTTAAGAATTTCCAAATAAGATCTATGTGGAGGTAGCACCTTAACTCTAATGTTCAAGGGGGGGCGGAGTTAAGAGACAGAGCAACCCAATTTGGGAGCACTGATTTCATTTCAGGTGCATAGCAAAATAGATCGTGTTTAACCACCATGGAGTCCCCCTTTATTCTTTTTTTCTTTTTCTAATTTCAAAACATCATCGATTTATTGTTTGAAAATCAAGCTATGAAGTGTTTAGAAAGTAAAAGTTCTACATAATATCCCGTCATCAAACAACTCGCTCAGTATACTTTGGAGGTACTCACACCTCTATTTATACTGTGCTTACAACATGCTTATTTCACCAGCAATATTATCTTGGAAAGCCGTTCAATGTCAGAATATGTAGATGAACCCTGTGGAGGGGCTGTACAATATCCATTGCACCCTATGCCATAAATTACACAATTCTCTATAGATCTACATCATTTAGATATATACACTTACAAATACGTGAATATGTTACTTATGTGAATGCTTTAGTAGGTAAGATATTTCTGAAAATGTGCTTGCTGAACCCAAGCACTGTGTACACTTACATTGGCATATTTCATTGTCGGTGTTAAATGTTTCAGGAAGTCTGTGCAATCATAATTTATTTCCTATTTATTATTATTATTACAGATTAAATGTATCTGATTGTTTCATTTTGCAGTTTTTCCAGCATTAGTGAAGATGAACATTATTTGATTATGGCATTTCTTTCTGTGTTTTATCTTTGGCGAATTTTCTATGCTTCTAAGAAAGTAATTTCCCCATAGATTTCTAAGTATTTTTGTATATTAGGCATATTAACTTTTTTTCTCATATATTAAAAATATTTTTGCCAGTTTGATGAGTACTAAGTACCTCTACACTTAGTATTTAAATGTTGAACAACAGTTCTTTTAAAGTCATTTCAAATAAGATGGACTTTTAAAAAATTTACTTTTATTGTTGAAAGTATTATAGATGTCCCCTTTTATTCCTCATTGACCCCCTCCATCTCGCCCCCATTACCCCCGAGGCCTTCACCATGCTTATGCATGTAAGTTCTTTGGTTACTCTCTCCCCGCACACCCCCTGAAAAGATATTAAATATATTATGACATTTGAATTACAATTACCTTCTTATCATTACATCTCTTACACACTAAAGCAATGGTAAAAGACTCCTAAATATGACAGTGTCGTCATTTATCAGCAGAGGGAGGTTTTTCTGCGTATGAAGATGTTTCCTCAAGGCACATTTAGAATGGATTTTAAATCTCCATGCAGTAGTGCTGTCAGAAGCAATGAGGTGAAAACTGTCTGAACTTGTCAAAACGTCTTTAAATTCAGATTTAAAGGAGTAGAAATGTAAAACCCACCGAGCCTGATGTTACCATTAGACCCACATTTACGACGCTATTGTAAGGAGCACAGCACCTGCACACTGAGGCAAACACTGCAGGGACAAGCCCTTAGTGCCGACGTGTTCCCACTGCTCCTGTTTCCCAGACCCAGACAGCGAGCACCTCAGTCTGTCTGCCCTCTCAGAGCCTTTCTCCCTCCAGAATCACAAACCCTCCCAAGCACAGAATCTTCAGCCTTTGCCTTTAGCGACATCCAATTCCTCAGACATATGCATGTTAAAATGCCCTGCTGGAAGGGAAACTGGCAAATACTTTCAGCATTGGGATATGGAGGTACAAATCTGAATCAGTCATTTAAAAACGAACCTTGCATACAATATAAAATAAAATATAA